TTTTTTTTTTTTGGTTGCAGCCAGCATTGTTGTTTGGAGGGCCTGGGCTGGATTCAAACCTGCCAGCTCAGATGTATGTGGCTAGTGCCTTAGCTGCTTGAGCCATAGGCGCCAAGCCACAGTGAAAGACATTTTGAAGCCACGTGGAATATAAGTAATGACATCTGGTGTTGGAAAAGCCACATTCAGTTTCATACTTTTTTCCCCTCTTCTTTTTTTGTCTTTGCAAAGTCTGGCTTTTTGGAATGGAGACAAAGTTGGGTCTGGTAATAGGGATATATGTTGACCTTTATATTTACATTTCCTATTTCTAGAGTACATAATACATTGAAAGATTTGAAACTAGAATATGAAAATAAAGGTTTAAACTTCTCACATATAAAGTTCTCCAAGAAAAATAGTATGTTCATAATCATAATGTCCTTTTTGTAGGAGTATAATATCTATTTTTAAATTAAATCATTACAGACTCTCATTGAAGGTTTAAGTGATGGCAGTTATAGTCACATTAATTATAGTGTCAAATATGACAAATTTCCTGTATGTTCAGACTCAGAATATGAATTAGAAATGTACTGTCAGGCTCGGCGCCTGTAGCTTAAGCGGTTAAGGCTCCAGCCATATACACCAGAGCTGGTGGGTTCGAATGTAGCCCAGGCCTGCCAGACAACAATGACTACTACAACCAAAACATAGCTGGGCATTTTGGCGGGCGCCTGTGGGCCCAGCTACTTGGGAGGCTTGAGCTCAGGAGTCGGAGGTTAGTGTGAGCTGTGATGCCACAACACTCTACCCAGGATGACAGCTTGACACTCTGTCTCAAAAAAAAAAGAAAAAAGGAAAAAGAAAAGAAATGCACTGTCATAGCTGTCAATGGTTAAGAATAGAATGAGACTCTAGAATCAGAGTGCCTGGGTTTGGGTTTTGGTTCCACCAGTCATCAACCAGGTGATCAAGTTCAAAATATTTAGCCATTTTTAATCTTGTTTTTTTCTTTTTGCCTTATTTTCCTCCCCTATAAAATGGATATGATAATAATACCATATACCTCATAGGTTGTGAGAATTGGATAAGATTATTTATAGTAGATACAAGATATTTAGAACTGTTCCTGAAATATAATTAAGTAACTCAGTCATTGTTAGCTATTATTTAGAAAAGAACAATTGTGATTATACTGCTTTTTTTTTTAAAGCTAATAGCTGTTAGGTATCATGTTATATTTTTAAAAGATGAAATGGCCTTTTTTTCTTTTCTTTTTTGAGACAGAGTCTCTCTGTTGCCCTGGCTAGAGTGCCATGGTATCATCAAAACTCATAGCAACCTCAGACTCTTGGGCTCTTGCCTCAGTCTTCAGAGTAGCTGGGACTGTAAGCACCTGCCACAACACCTGGCTACTTTTTCTGTTTTTAGTAGAGATGAGGTCTTGGTCTTGCTCAGGCTGGTCTCAAACTCCTGAGCTCAAGCAATCTACCCACCTCCTCCCAGGATGCTAAGTTTACAGGTATGAACCACTGCACACAGCCTCTGAAGTGGACTTTCTACTTCATTTACAGAGTTGAAACTGTGGGACAGCCAGACAGAAGAGACAGCATAGGAGTGTGTGCAGAAAAACAGAATGGATATGAGTCTCTGCAGCGGGATCAAGCTGTGTGCATTAGTACAAACGGTAAGAAATAAATAGCTGTCATTTTCCTTGAAATATGTGAATTACTGCAATAAGATGTGAATCTGTCCCAGTGTCACACATTGGTAGTAGGAGAAGAGAAAGCTTAGGTCTCAATGATATAATTTATTTTGCTACCATGTGCCAGCATTGTTCCATAACAAATCATTCCATCTGTTATGTCTGGTACCCTTTGGTCCTATACTCCTCTGTAATCCACTTTCTTAAGTCACTGCCAAGACCTGTTAATATTTTGTGATGTGGTGGTCCAGCATTAGGTAGAACAATATTCTTGTTTATTCCATATGAAACAATCTGTGATTTCACAGGATGTCATGTTATAATGGTGTCAAGTTTTTTTTAATGCTCTCAATAAGGGAAACCCATAGTCTCTATTAGAAAAGAGTAGAACCTGCAACCTGAACTCTAAAATGTTATTAAAAGTTTTAGCTTTTCTACTACCATAGGGATGAGAGTTAATTAACATATTTAAATACACTATTTCCTGTTGGCATTCCAGAATGTTATTTTAAATCTGAATTTGGAAATTACCAGTAATAGAAGCTATTTCAATTATCTTAGCTATTGCTCACATGTAATAACTTTAACATTTTAGGTGCCGTTTTTGTCAATGGAAAAGAAATGACTAATCAGTTGCCTGCAGTTACTTCTGGATCCACTGTAACCTTTGATGTTGAAGCTGTGACTCTAGGAACCACCAATAATAATGAAGGTGGAAACTTCAAGCTTCGAGTAACTATTAGCTCGAATAACAGAGAAGTGGTTTTTGATTGGTTACTTGATCAGTCATGTGGTTCTCTTTACTTTGGATGCTCCTTTTTCTATCCTGGATGGAAAGTGTTAGTGTTTTAGATTTTTAGATACGTGGCTTTGGCTTTCAGGGTTAAATGTATCTGTCCTCAGTCCAGTTTAGTTGTAACTGATAAAAAATAGTTTATTTCATCTCACAGGCCATTGGAAATGGAAGGTGTTTACTGGATCCTTTTTGTGATATTTTAGCCATAAGCAACTTAAATGTTGTGGACAAAGCCATAATTCAGTCAATTGTGCTTTCAGAATACCTTTAATTGAAATATCGTATCACAATAAAAATCAAACTGGCTTTAAAAGTGTAAGAAGATGTAGAAGGTCCTATACTCGCCCGTCCACTGTAGTGTTTGTTGTTTTTTGGTTTTGTAGAGGCGAGGTCTCACTACTGCCCAGTCTGGTCTTGAACTCGTAGGCTCATGCAGTTGTCCTGCCTCAGCCTCCCGAAGTGCTAGGATTATAGGTGTGAATGAGTGTGGCCAGCCTGTACTTCTTAAAATTGATTTTTTGAATAAAAACTTAATGTAAGATTTTTTATTAAATTGTCAGCAGGATCCAAGGCCATATAAACCTTTAGAATAAGACAGCAGGGTCCTGGCACCTATAGCTCAGTGGCTAGGAGGCCTACCACGTACACTGAATTTGAACAGCTGGCGGGTTCGAATCCAGCCTGGGCCAGCTAAGCAACAACCACAAGTGTAACCAAAAAATAGCTGGGCATTGTGGTGGGTGCCTGTAGTGCTAGCTACTTGGGAGGCTGAGGCAAGAGAATTGCTTAAACCCAAGAGTTTGAGGTTGCTGTGAGCTGTGACTCTATGGCACTCTACCCAGGGCGATAGCTTGAGACCCTGTCTCAAAAAGAAAGAATAAAACAGCAGGAATAGACCAAATGGAAGCCAGACTTCTGCAATATACATTCACTCATGTGCTTCCCACATGAATATGTTAACTGTGTCTTGCATATTCAGGTATTGTAAGCAGTGTTGACTTCTATCCTCTGTCCACTAACCTTTTCTTTTTTCTTTTCCTTAACCATTTTTTTGGCATCAACTAATATGATGTTTTTTCTTTTCTTGTCTTTTTTTCTTTTTTTTTTTTGGAGACAGAGCCTCAAGCTGTCGCCCTGGGTAGAGTACTATGGCATTATAGCTCACAGCAACCTCCAACTCCTGGGCTCAAGCGATTCTCTTGCCTCTGCTTCCCAAGTACCTGGGACCACAGGTGCCTACCACAATGCCCAGCTATTTTTTTTTTTTTTTTTTTTGGTTGCAGCATCATTGTTGTTTGGCAGGCCTAGATTCAAACCCACCAGCTCTGGTATATGTGGCTGGCACCTTAGCCACTTGAGCCACAGGCACTGAGCCTTTTTTTTGGAGACAAAGTCTGACTCTGTTATCTACGTGGAGTGCAGTGGCCTGATCATAGCTTTTTGCAGCCTCAAACTCCTGAGTTTTAAGCCAGACTCTCACCTTGACCTCCCAAGTAACTAGGACTGTAAACACATGCTACCACATTTGGCTAATTTCTTTTCTTATTTGTAGAGGTAGGGTCTCGCTCTGTTGCTCAGACTAGTCTTAAACTCCTAGGCACAAGAAATCCTCCCACTGTGGCCTCCTAAGGTGGTGAGATTACAGGTATGAGCTACTGTACTTGGCCCATATTCAAAATTTGTTAAGTACGAGAAGTATTATAAATATTGCATTTTCAGAAACACCTGAGTAAGTAAATGTCTCTACATGTATATATACATATACACAGATATTAATATATGTGTATGTGGGCTCAGCGCCTATAGCTCAACCGGCTAAGGCGCCAGCCACGTA